TAAAATAGTGTAGCAGCTGATGGAAAACGTATTATTATATATCGTCTCCACAAAAATTAATTTTAGTTCGACCCCGAAATGTGTGCAGATGTCAGTAGTGCTAATTTCGCAGAACCACAGTGCGACCTTCCAATACATATTTTGCGAATGTTCGTCTACAAAATTGTGTGCACTTTTTGCACCTTATATGTTATATACACGAGTTAAATTACACGCGTAGGAGTGCGGTTGTTGGGATAACGAACGAATAATATACTCAGTACCCGTAGCTGTACATTCTTGAGCACAGCGGTCGAGAGTAGCGTCTATCGTAAGACCATTGTTCGACGTAGGCATAAATTTAATCAAACTGGTAGATTTTATTGAATGTTAGGTACCTATATGCTCAGTTGAGTGCCCACACCGTCGAATCGGGTATAATATTATCGTATTTTTATCATACCTAGGTGGCTAGGTTAGATATGAAATACGTAAACAATAATTTTTTAGTTGGCGAATTTTGACTGCGGGGTGTTTACGAGTATGTTACAAACGAAGCTTTCTCGATAGATACATCCATTAAAAAGGCATACTATATGTTTAAATGTTTCAAATCAATTTTTCGCATTTAATATATTATATATGATCCACCTCCTTCAAATTGTTTACCCAGTTTACTTATGTATGAAACAGTATTTAATTCCGTTTTGATGACAGATGGTTTCCACTATTAGTATCCATTATTATACTCTTTTCTTGATTGTTTGTTTATAGGTTTTAATTGCTAAATTTATCTTAAAGTAATATTGATAAAAAAAAATTATAAATGACGGCACAAAAAAAGATGAATGTCTGTTAATATTGATTGTAATCTGATAAATCATCTGTAACTATAGAATATTTGTACGACAAGGCAGTGTTTGCAGTGTGCGTGCGTTTCACGTTCTGCGGAGAAATGTGTATTTTCTATTGCATAAAATTCGTGTTTAACCCGCGCGCGTCATCGAAGAATTATATCGCTGATTGAGACCGTCGTTTTCAAATACGGTGTTAGTATTGACCGGAATATTATTCACGCCAAGTTTGGTAAACTTGTGAGGTAACGCGGTCAATGGTGTTAACGCTTTGGAGGTATTCGTGTCGAGATCACACGTTGTTGTTGTTGTTGTTGTTGCTGTTGTTGTTATTATTATTACAACTAATCCGTGGAAGATGAACAGTGTTAATTGAACACCTGTATTGTATTATGCTATATTTATATTGATATAATCGTACAAATTAAATTATTTTCATCATCGCATGTAACATTATGTTTATGTTCACGTGGTAATTCATTAACTAACTTTCTTTGTGGGGGATTTATTTTAATTATTATTATTTAGATTTTTATATAGTTGCTTAGAATTGAATAAATGTAAAGCGTATAATTTATTAGGTTTATAATTCCATATTTTCAATGAACTTGTACCGCACGAGGTCTAATCATTGTTTATCCTCACTAAGCGTGTATGCTCACTAAACTCTTAAATTAGTTTTTTTAGAATTATTCGTGTACATAATATAATATTGTATGTATTATAATATCAGGGACACCCGAGAGACCACGAAATATTTGTATTATTTATTTAGTTTTCGGTCCCATAGTCTTTCGTAATAATAATATTATATGTTTTGATATTGCGTTCTACTCCATAGTACCTACGGGCTAGATAATATTATACTTTTCACACCTTCGCTATTAGGTACAGGCAAACGTGTAGGATTGTTTTTCTTGCATACGAATAAATCTGTTCATATCATCTACTGATCGTGTTCTGCCATTTACGCAATTTTAATTTTAATCAATATAACATTATCTTTTATTTTCATTTCAGGTAAGTCATTGAGATTTGAGAATATTGCATTATACAATATTATTGGATACACAGCACCGCGTATACATGACCACGGCCCTCGATACAGGTTGGATTGCGCAACACATGTTGGTTTTTATTTATTTATTTTTTGGTATAATACTATGATTTTTGCGGTTTCTTGCCGGAAAGTCTCTGATTTTGTTGACAGTGGCTACTACCCCAAAAGGCAACCAAAACCAGGTAAAACAGAGTTATTTTATATTAATATAAGCAGGCTTATGTTAATATATAGGTATAGTGTTAAAAGTTAAAACATATAATGCATAAATGACACTATATGATTGTAGGTACAACCTGTACATATATGTACACCGCAGCTATATTATAATACGAATAATAATAATAATTATAGTACCTACGTATTATATTAGTATGGTATTATACGTACGATATTTGAACAAACATTGAGTCTGGGCTCGATAATAACACACAGAGTATAGGTAATACGTTGAGGCCTATAATATGGCCGGTGAAATAATAAACACACGCGTTGGACCGCAGAGCCGCACTGTGCAATTACGACTCTGGGATTGTCTCTCTCCGTCTTATTTTTCCTCTCAAACGTACTCATTCCACACATAATCACTATTATATCGCGTTGATTGCATTTTTATAAATCCCGCACGTATGCACGTAATCACTCGGTTATAGTCGACTAATTAAGATACTTAGGCCGACCCTATAAATGGAATTGGGGAGAAACCGGCACTCCGGCGTGATAACGAGTTGGTCCAGTTCATCGGTACCGCCGTATAAACCTAACCGCGTACCACACCCTGGAAAAAATACTATATTTCTTCATGTCCCAGGACATGATGTCTCGAACTTACCAAACAAAATATGTAATTAGTTGTCATAATATATTACCATCTTATTTTATTGATATAGGCATTATATCATTATATTATTATTCGTAATAATATAAGTACCTACATTTGGTTTTTAAAGTGTAATATCGAGGTGTTACAGCTCTGTGTAGGTACTTATACCATTGTTTATAATAATATAACGAAATGTTTGCTTTGAAGCCTATATAGGTGTAAGCTTACGAGAGTGAACGTGCACCAATGGTTTAATATGTATTATTTGCTGTTAGCAAATCCTTATAGTTGTTATCATAATGAAAAGTATTTCATTGAATCATGATAAGCACTTTAGCAGCTCTGAATCACGTCAATACAGCATAACCGAGCACAATAGCCGTCCTTATTCTCCGTTTATTAGATTGCAGCATTTGTATAATGCAGTTTATTATAAAATTGCATAATAATAATAATAATAAACCTGCCCTAGGTACCTTTGCTCTGGATAAATCCAGGTGCATGATATCACCGTATTTATATTCCAATCGCATTGTGGATAAACAATGCGTGACTATTATACACTGGTTTGAAATTATACGCTCGAAATTTATTGTGGTTCCTCTCCCTTAGATGAAAATTTTTTTTTTTAATGTAATTATTCATGGTTACAATTAATTACAATTTAGCCAGAGAGCTAATATAGTGGACAATGTATATATATATATATATATATTATTATCCTATGAAAATACAATGTCTGCTGTAAAAAAGAAAGACTTTAATGTATCTTATTAACAAGTAACAACTAATAAATAACAACGATTTGTAACGATTAAATGTTATTGTGATATAATATATCGCAGACAGACCCAGATATTAATGCAAGACATGCGCCTGTGACAACACATTCCCTATTTTTATTTTTATTTTAAATGTATATTTTCAAATTATCATTATTTTTATGATTATTAGATAGGCAAATGGTAATAGTAGTAATAAGTGTTATATACTAAAATTATACCATAACAGCATAACCTATATATTTGTATACAACCTATACCGTTAGTTTGTTTTTGCTCAGCTTATATAATAATTGATTAACTTAAAACTACTTAACTACGTTTACAATTAAAATAACTCAGAACTTCTATAATAGCTGCTTAATTTAGGCAAGAATTAAAGATATAATGGATCCAACTATCCAATTTGAGCTACAAAAATCAAATGAAAAAAAGCAATCGGCTTGTACGTGTGGAACACGCTTTTAAAGTATAAAATGTACACAACAATCACAGGTACCTGAATCATAATTCATTAATTTCCAACGACGCAGTATAGTAATAAAGTATCAAAATTGTACAATTTTAAAATATTTTAGGCAGGTGCCATATTATTACATAGAATGCTTGAGTTCAGAGCATAATATCTCAATAATGAGTGAAATGTAATAATTAATAAGTATGATGTGTATCCACATTGCATTTTCACTTAATATTCCTTAGTTATTTTGTTAACATTTTGATAATTTTACTTATGACAGTTCATTTACGATTTCTTACAAAATGTGTGTCACTTACATGTATACGGTGAATAATTAGTGTAAAGTTAATACTATGCGTAGGTAACAATATTTTAGATTATAAGCTGAGCGATGTATTGTTTTTATAATGATATAATTTTTTTTGTCTGTTTACATATTTTATAGTATAGTAATAATACTTTGATCTCAAATTTCGATTGTGGTTTTTGGTAAAAAAAATGTAACCTAGTCGGTACTGAAATTGCATCTAAAGAAAAAATTCTCAGTTCTATCTACAAAATAATCGATAGGTAAACAAAATTTGAAGTATAATTTTCAGCTATTCATTTCTAAGTATTTAGTAATACGGCAATATGTGATTTTGTGAAATTAAATGTATACAAACCAATAAATATAATGAAATATGTTTGAGGTTTAAAGTATATGAAAACTTAGCGGTAAAATTTAGTATGTGCAATTTGCTAACTACTATCAAATTTAGTTCATATGAACGCTTAGATAGACAATTTTAAGCTCAACAATTAATTGTTACCACTTACCAACTTATTTTATTTCTCTTTGCAACGTCGTTGTTGCCATAGTGTCAAACTTCTTATATACTACGTTATTTCGTTATCTGACAAAGTATACGATTACATAAAATAATTATTATATCATAATATATTTAGGTACAAATCAAATATCTGCATACACATAAACAATATACAAAAAAAAAACAAAATTATTGCGTGTGTATCGTAGCATAATATTTAATTTGATTTTAGTTATCACACGCTCGGCTTAAATTTGACAGCGTATGCGAAAATAATGTGGGGCGCAAACTGAAGTAAAATAATACACATATATTCCGTCTGCAATTAAAGTAATCAACCTGCAGCAGGTTAGATACCTAGTACCTAATAACAGTTGGTATACGTCCACGATGAGGTAAAGAAAAAATTAAAAAATAAGATCGTAGAAAAAAACACCATTACTATTAGTGGTTATGGCCATTTTAGTCTGTTTAATCTCATATTATGGACCGAGGCGTTCATATCTGTCACAAACTGGAAATACACATACCTGTTTACTGGGATCGCGCAAAACTGTCGCAAACATCATCACCCATTATCGGGGGCATAATGTGCGCGCGTGTAATATTTCTGTATAAAAGCGTCGCGTGACCACGGTTTGTCATATTCACTCGTCAACCGTCGTCGCAAATAATAAGTGATCAGAGTTATCTGTTCGTGCAGTTTATATCGCAGCCAGTCATTTTTACGCAGAGTCCAGTGCAACCAGAGAAATCAACAATGTTCGCCAAAGTAAGTGGATTTTGTATATTATTTAATATTTATATTGTCATTGTTGTTATACGTGCCAATTATAATTATATCGTAGGAAAAAAGTACAAAAAGACCTGAACATAATAATAATAGGTATCGCCTGAGAACAATATAGGCATACGATTGATTCGTCAAAAACTTCTGCAGGTCCAATACTATGCGTTCCGACTTGGACGAATATGTGTAACCACATCATTTGGTTTTTTCTTAAATTTCTTACAATTTCAATCATACTGCAGTTGCAGTAGGCACAAGACCAATAGGTACGCATATACCTAACCTAACCTTCCCGACCTAATCAAGACCCAAGACCGCTTCCGTCATCGGTTTGCGTAATGCGTACGTGTTATAATATTATTTAGTCATCACAACATTATCCACGAAACGATAATATAACATCTTTCCTAATCGATGGTTATAACAATTTAAAAAAATCTTAAAATGTTCAGTGTAACGCGCATAATATTTTATGAATACGTTCTCATAATATCGATGTGCACTTTATACAGAGTTAACTCGCGCTGCAGTTATCTTCAGTAATCCGTGTAACAATTATGACGATATAACATTATTAATATTATAATATAAACGTATTGTTTATTTTTGCACAACAGGTAGCAGTTTGCTTCGCTTGCGTCGCCGTATTCGCCGCACAGGCCCAATACTACCAGGCCGCTTACCCTTCCGCCGCCGTGGTTCACGCCGCCCCGGTCGCTTACCCCGCTTACCCGGCGGCCGCCTACCACCCGGTCAACCCGAACCCGGCTTACGCGTACAAATACGGCGTATCCGACCCGGCCACCGGTGACTACAAGACCGCCGAAGAGAGCCTGTCCAACGGCGTTGTCCAAGGACAGTACAGTCTGGCCGAACCCGACGGCACAGTCAGAACCGTGTCGTACACCGCCGACGACGTCCACGGTTTCGTAGCCCAGGTCACCAAGGGGGCCAAAGTAATCGCACCCGCCGCCCCGGTGTACTCGGCCCCTGCTGCGGTGTACTCTGCCCCAGCCCCGGTGTACTCCGCCCCGGCTCCGGTTTACGCGGCGGCGCCCGCCCCGGTGTACGCGCCCGCCGTCCACACCCCGGCGTACGCTCCAGCCGTTTCATACCCGTTCCCGTACAAACGCCAAGCGTAAATGAACGCGACCACGACATCGCTTTAAAAATTCATCATCGTCACTTTGCGTGTATCGCATCATCGTCATCGTCATCATTATTATTATTATTAATATAACTATCATCATCGTAGCGTGCAATGCTGCTGCGAGGAAGACCTCCTCGCACCGCTCCTTCTTCGTATATTGTCTTGTCTGTAATTCGTTTTATCTTTTTATTTTTGTGTAATATTTAGTTTCCTACTTGTAATATTAATGTATAATGTATTATTGTTATAACCACGTTGGAAAAATGCGATAATAATGAATAATATATAAATATATTGTTTTATCGTATATACTGCACAAGTGACATTTTATGGACCTACCTGTCTACCTTTTCTCCCGAGCTCCCCTTTCGATCTCACGCGTTCGCCATGTCCGCATAAAAGTGACATGTTCTATAAGTTTCCGATTCTGTCAATAGTGAAAACTGAAAAAGACATACTACTTAGGTCTAAGTATGTTTTGGAGTTTTAGGTATTATACCTATACGGCCATACCATTGTATTCATTGACGTCGTTTTTGATTTTACCGGTTACTAAATAACGTGGGCCGTAATTGAATATATCTACTATTTTATCACACTTCAGTATCTTTGTTGTGTAACTTTAAAATAACACACTACGCGTTATTCCATTATCAATAATATATTTTTATTTATTTAGATGCAACATAATAAATATATAGTAATAATTAATACTTGCACTACATGTTTACAATTACTTGTGGATATGAATAATTAAAATAAGTTTCGTCGACAACTATAAGCTGTACCTATATGATTTAAAAATGATTACAATTATTTTAATCACAACGAATCGTTGTGAAACTAGGGTTTACGAATTTTAAATTGTGACTCATTTTATTATATATATAATGTTTATGTTAAGATATTAATTTCTAAATTTGTTATACCTACCTACTTAACTAAGAAAATCATTTTTATAAAAACATACTAAAGACTGAACCATTATAATTTAGAACATTGTGGAATAAGGTTAACAGTGCTATTTGATTGAAGTATAAATTGTTCTAATGTTAAATATTACATAAATGGCTAACAAACATAAGACATAACTACGAGTAATATTAGCCGTCAAATCACGTTTCCGGTCGTATGACCAGACGCAAATACTACGTAATATGACTTAGTTTTATTTATTTAATTTTTTGAAAAAATAATGCATTTTCGTTGAGATATTTTTTCATTAGAACAACTTTCTATCTTCTAACTTCATCAAACCTAAAAACTCAATACAAGGTTATCCATTCAACATGAAATACTAATCTTTTCAAAAATTATTCGAATATTTGAATACACTACGATAAACAATTTTTGCATTGGGTAGTTTGATGTGGTTTTAAAATTATATGTTTGCAATGTACCATTTTTTTAAAATATTGTGAACAGTTTTCAAGAATATTATGTATTTGATTTCAAACTTACCAGTACAATATATATTTATCTCGGATAACGAAAAATGCGTAATCTCAAGCGTTATCTGGGGAAATGACGTCTAAAATTGCTGTGAACGTACGATACCTATCTGCTCATATATACTTATAATTATAATAGTTAATCAACGATTTAGTCCAGTTAGCTATAGGAACATTTATAAAAAAAAAAAAATATTGGTTTAATTTTTGATAATAAATACTAAATTATATGCAGAGTGATTCACCAAGCATGATGCTCATCCCAATTGTTTCCTTTAATTACGAAATAATTCAAATTCTGGTTTGTTGGAATTTTTAAATATACTCAGCGACCATATTTTCGAATTCTTAAATTTTTTTTTACTACTTAAGAAATGTTCTGTGGACAAATACAAACTTCTACTATTCAAAGAGAACCTCTTTTTTTACCATAAATTATTTAGTGGATACATTTTTTGAAAATGTTGATGTACCTAATTCAAAATTCAAAAGAGTAATTTCTTAGTTATTAAAATGTTTGTACTAATTATAATAGTCCTTTAAAATGGTTTTACAGGAATGTAAGCTAGATGTAAAATTGGATCTAGTATTTATTATACTTGGAGCATTTTTAGAAATTAATAATATTGATTGATTAATATTAATGATTACAATTTTCAAATCACCATGGCTCCCATATAGTATGATTTCATTAACATGGATCTTTTATCCTTAGTACACAAAGTTAAATAACTCAAAAACTACTCGTATGGATTTTTTCCTGATGCGTCAACATTTTCAGAAAAAATATTCACTTTATATTTTACAATTGAAAAAGGGTGCTCTCATTTAAAAAATTGAAGTTTGAATCTCCACAGGACACTCCTTAAATAGTATAAAAAATCTTAAAAATTTGAAAATATGGTCTTAGAGTATAATTAAAAACTTTATTATTGAAGAAAAAAGGGTGTATGAGCATGTTGGATGAATCACCTTGTTTAGTGTATGTGTACTCATACAACATTTTAGACCCTTACTCTGCTTAAGGATAAGACATCTAATTTAATTTTTAATTTTTAAAAACCCACAAAAATTATCAACGTATGAAATACATTGTACTCTTGTATGTGAATAGTCTCAGATATTTATTACGCTCTTTGTAAACCTATATGGTGCATTGGACTGTAAAACTTGTTCGGTGAGCAGTCATCAGTTATATAAATTGAAAGTAATAATAAAATATTACATTGTAATCGTTTCACAAAATAGCAAATATTTTAGTGATGAATATAAAGTGCTATACATTATACCAATATTATAATAATAAAGTATAAGACGACCTTGCATGTCGTGTTATGTTTATATACTTGTAGATTTTAGTGTTTTTTTTTTAAATATTATTTATCATAAAATTATTATCCGCTTGATTGTTAACGATTCGTTGTTACATATTATACTCGTAAAGCTGTTTTTATCCCTTAATCGTATACATAAATCCAAATCGATCGTACGGACAGTTGTTTGTCAGTCTTTGCAGTTAAAACACCTATACCTACCTATATACATGAGATACCTGGATAGTATTATATGTATTGCCTATCAAAACTTTTCATCTATTATCCTATCAATTGTCATATTTTGACCGTGATAAATTGGCCATTATGTAAAAAGACCCTCGTTATTCATAATAATAACTCGTAATCGTGTATTATTATGACTGTTACAAAATTAAAACATTGTGTGCGTACCATACACCTTTACCACAGCGTTGGCCATTGTCTGCCGTTTTAGGATGCGCAGTGGGGATATCATTTCGTGTTAAATAATATTATTTTGCTATATACCTAGAGCAGCCGAGTGCGCATAGGTAAAATGAATTTAATTTTAAATGTCGATTCATCGTATACTTTGATGTTCGACGACAGGACGAGTATTCGTATCTCGGCAAATTCGATTATTGTCCACCCACTCCGACTCAAATTGACAGATTAGTTATTCAGATATTATTGTCTGCTACTAATTCGTTGTTTTTTTTTTTTTTTTATTCAACAATCGATGTATGAAATCGTTTTTATTCGATTACAGATAAAACGTTTGAGATGACTGCCACTTCAGTCTCCAAATACTCGAGGTATTACAAGGTTGAAATCCAAAGTGTATTTTTATGTCTTATCAAATAATACACCTGTTACATTTATAATATGCCCCTATTGAATGTATAAACCATGGACCGTCTTTACGTGTATTTTATTTTTTGTCAATATTTTAGCATAGTATTATAGTATAATTTATTTTTGTATTGCATGATGTTTTTTCCTATTTAACTATGACAACTATTTACACATGGTACAATAATGCTTGCGTTTCGAAATTAAGATTTGTTTTGCTGTTCAAATGTTGTTGTTACTGAAAACTTTCGGTCGAACAAAGATTCAGAGATACAAATTGCTACAATTAATACATTTTACGTATACCTACAAATACAATAAACTGTGATATTGTGTTTGTCTGCTGATGGTTATTCCGATGGTATGTCGCCGTCAGACCGACGGACTTAAAAAAAAACCAAGTCGATTCATCCGTATAATTTTGCACATGGCATAATTTGTGTGTACGTATTGGGTTCATTTGTTATACATTGTGTTCGCTAAACGCGATCGAGGCGTAACGAAAGGATGAAAATGACAGAAACACGTTTCCTTTAGACTCCATCATAGACTCTGTGTCTATGTGTTATAGTGTGTAGCTCGACCCAAAGGTCAATAAAATTACATACATCACTCGTCAGAAACCGTTTGGTCGTTGTTACAACAATAATATTATGTTATTGCGAAATCGGATCGTTCGAAATTCGAATCCATTGTACGTCGCAGGTACGTGTCGATCTAGTTGACAAAATAAACATCATCCAAGGACCGCGACTGCGTTGTGCCACGCGCAGTTTCGTAACGATTTTGTGTAAACGTTTGGCCACAATGGAACGATGGCTTACGATAATAACAATAATCATAATCATAATAATGATAAATCATAATTCATAACTATAATATTGCATGTTAAATGTATGTAGTGTCTGAGGTGTCTATCTGTCCCGTGTGTGGCGGTAATCGACCTTTCGTACTCATCGGAAACCGCGTGCGTGCGCGTATGTATTGCATGTGCATCTTGTTGCACCCTGGTGCATTGTACCTCGCACTTGTATGGCACTCAGATAGTTATACGAGAATGTTACATCAATAGGTATAATTGTATATTATACTCTTATACAACTATACTATTCTTCTGTCTTTAATTTTAGACTCTGGTCGAAGTGAGGAACGTGTTGGTTTTTATGACCGAGTTTAGATTGCCGATGTGTATATTCTTTGATCGTTTTATGTCTGAGTTTTGGATAGGAGGAGTGATCAAATCGCCTCATCCTTAACCTGTTTTCGGTGGAAAAAGCGTGTATATTATTATACATCGAAGAAAATTTTTGGGTTTTTTCACGTTTTAATATAATAACAATATAAGTTTAAAAAACAATATCTTCAAATAACCCTACAAATTAGGACTTCACCATTTTTTATGAAATCAATGCTACTGGGAATTTAATTACTCACCAACTATATTTTATAACCACAGGATTACACAAATTAACATTTTAATGCACTTCCGTCTATGCATAAGTAAGACGATCCATCAATGCCTACAGTTCTATTCTTCGTTTTAAATCAATTATTAAATATACAATATTTATTTTGGAAAAATTTCGATGTATCAGTGTCGCAGTCTTGTCATTGCAAAGGATAGCATAGTGGGAAAATAATTGTATATTATTTTGAGCATATATAAATAACTAAACTTTAACACTGC